TAGAATTAACCAATGAAACCCTTTGGGTCTGTCAATTTTCTTTGTATTAAGTTTTAAAAATTATTATAACTTTAATTTCCTTAATAATTATAGGGCTACTGAAATTTTCTATTTCTTCTTGTGTTAGTTTTGTTAAGCTAATTTTTCAAGAAATTTGTTTACCTAAATGTTTGAATATACTGGCATAGAATTATTTATAGTGTTCCCATGTTATCTTTTTAATGTGTGTAGGCTCTGCCATGATAGCCCTTTTTAAAAAAAAAAATTTCTGAATTGTTATTTTAGAATTTTTTCTCTTAACTAGTCTTGCTAGAGGTTGACAATATTTTTAGCAGCCTTATTTGAGGTACAATTTGCATGACTTAAAATTATTCTATTAAATTTGGGCTTAAATTTCCTATTCCCTCTGTTTTTAGGTTTTCTGTTCTTCTTTTTGCTTTTTTTGGAACAGATTGAATACTATTTAGTATTATATTTTAATTTCTCTTATGAGTTTTTAGCTATTTTTTATTTAGCATTTTTGCTAATTTTTCAGTCTACTCAGTTAATATTGTATAACTTCATATAAGGTATCAACTTTGCAACCAGTTTAATTTGAGTATGTTTACCTTCCCTCATTTTTTCGGTGTGTATTTTGTCATACATTTTGCATCTACGGAATAAACTCTGTGATGCATTGTTATAATGTTTGTATTAAACTCTCAATTTATATTTTAAAGGATTTAGAAAAATGATAATCTTTTATATAATTTTTAGATAAATATTTGCCCTTTCAGATACTCTTTATTCTTTCTGTTTATCCAAGTTTCCATAAAGGAACACTTCTGTTAAGTGTTAAGGGAAGCATGATTTAGGGTAGTGAAGGTCTGCTGACAATGAACTTTCTTGGCGTTTATACCATGAAAAACAATTATTTTGCCTTCATTTTTGAAAGATATTTTTGTTGCACATGGGACTCTGTATTGATAGTTTATTTTCAGTGTTTTAAAGATATTTTTAATTAACTTTTGACATCAATTGTTTCTAGCCATCAATTATTTTGTTCCTTGAATGTAATGTGTCTTTGTCCCCTGGATAATTTTAAAATTTCCTTTTTATCTTTGGTTTTCAGAGCCTTGTTGTGGCTTTCTGTGTATCTCTATTCTGCTTTTAGTTTATAAGAAACTTTTTTTATTTTTTATTTTTGAGACAGGGTCTTGCTCTGTCACCCAGGCTGGTGTGCAGTGGTACGACCTTGGCTCACTGCAACCTCCACCTCCTGGGTTCAAGTGATTCTTCTGCCTCAGCCCCTCCAGTAGCTGGGATCACAGATGTGAGTTACTGTGCCTGGATATTTTTATTTTATTTTTGTATTTTTAGTAGAAATGGGGTTTCATCATGTTGGCCAGCCTGGTCTTGAACTCCTGGCCTCAAGTGATCTGCCCATCTCAATGGAGTTTATGAAAACTTTTTCATTGGCATGTTGTTTTCTTCCCAGAGGGGAAGTTTTGACCATTATTTGTTCAAATACTGTTTTTGCCTTATTCTTCTCACCCCGATTACACATAGATCATTAACTTGATATTGTTGCATATTTGACTGTGTCTCTGTTATTTTGTTTAAATCTTTTTTCTAAATCTTTTTTCTCCTCTCAATTCTTCAGATTGGATAAATATTTTGATTTCTCCTCAAGTATTATTGATCTTTCTTCAAGTTGAATGGTCCTTTTTTCTCCCTTGAGATTTCCATTTGCTGTTAAGACTATTCAGTGAATTTTTCACTTTAAATATTTTACCTTTCAATTAAGAATTTTGTTTGATGCTTTTTTATAGTTTAAAATTTTCTGTTGATATTCCCCTATCATGACTTGCCTTCCTTGAAGTTCTTGAAAATATTTATAACTTTTTTAAAGTCCTTGTTTTCTTATTCAAACATTTGGGTTATCTCAGAATCTGTTTCTGATGCCTGATTTTTCTTTTGACTATGAGTCACATTTTTATGTTTCTTTGTAAGTCTAGTATTTTTCATTGTGTTAATTTGTTACAGAGATTCTGAATTCTGTTATCTTCCTCTGAAAAGTTAAGACTTCTGTTCTAGATTAAATTTTGCACCTAAACTGGCTGACTACCTTGAACTTGGGAAAGTTTGTTTGTATACTTTGTTAGGGAAGCTCTGTTTCAATTTTGCAATAGGTCTTAGTGTAAAATTGTAATCCTAAGGCATAAACTGCACTTTAAGGTGTCTTCCTTCAGGGGTTTTGATGCAAAGTTCAAAATATTTACCAAGCCCCTTCACCGTGTCGGAATTAAAACTACAGACCCCGACTTTGTTTATGATGGACACCTTACGTAATATCTGGTAGCCTTTTCAGCCTTTCACCTGTTTGTTTCTGCCACACTACTTGGACTTCCCTCAAGCATCTACTGTTCAGGGGTAAGCCCAGGATTTGTGAGGAGATGTATGTGGATTTCCTCCCTCTGTCACTCGCTCTGTCCTGGTATTTCCCTTCATAATCTCCAACCACTTGGCATCCCTGACCTCTGGCTTTTCAAGGCAGTGTGACTGCAGTTTTTTCTTCAGTTCTGGCTTCTGTGTCCAGTGCAGAGTCAGGAGTGGCCTCAAGAGGAAAAGCCATTTAAACATAGGTATCACCCAATATGGTTCTCTTCTTTCAAGGCCATTGGATTGTCTTCAGTTTCTTTCTGCTTTTGGTAACTTTCCAGTGCCTTCTATTAGTTGTTTATATTTTTCCAAGTGTTTATAATTTTTTTTTTTTTTTTTTTTTTTTTGAGATGGAGTCTCGCTCTGTTGCCCAGGCTGGAGTGTAGTGGTGATCTCGGCCCACTGTAACCTGCACCTTCCGGGTTCAAGCAATTCTTCTGCCTCAGCCTCCAGAGTAGCTAGGACTACAGGCATGTTCTACCAAGCCCGGCTAATTTTTGTATTTTTAGTAGACACTGGGTTTCACCGTGTTAGCCAGGATGGTCTTGATCTCCTGATCTTGCGATCCGCTGGCCTTGGCCTCATAGTGTTGGGAGTACAGGCATGAGCCACTGTACCTGGCTGAGTTGATAATTTTTGACTCTTTATGCATCTGCTTCCCACAGGAGGATCTAGGGAAGAGCTCTTCAGGTGGAGGAAATAGCAAATGAGAAGCCCTGAGCAGGACTGTGATGAATGAGCTGGGTGGAAGCAGGAGGCCCATGGGTTGGAATGAAATTTACATCTGTGGGTCCCTGTAAGCCATTGTACTTTGGCATTTACTCTGAGTGAGAGATAGAAAGCCATCAAATGGTTTCCTTAGAGGAAAAACATCATCTAATTTTTGCCTTAGACTCTAGGAAGGCAAGAGAAGAAGCAGGTAGACCAGTTATGAGGCAGTTATAACTGGTAAGAGATAATGATGATTGATCTGGGTCAAAATGATCTGTTGAGAGCCTCTTATGTGCTATGTATGATGCTACCCACCTAGGCTAAACAGCTGTGTTCCCAATCTTCTTTTTGCCTTGACAGGGGACACAGCTTGAGCGCTCTCCTGCTACACAGAAAAACACAAGAGACTGAGCACAGTGCCTCATGCCTGTAATCTCAGCACAGGCAGGCTGAGGTGGGAGGACTGCTTGAGCTCAGGAGTTCAAAACCAGCTTGGGCAACGCAGGATGACCCTATTCCTACAAAAAATTAAAAAAATTAGCCACATATGGTGGCATGTGCCTGCGATCCTAGCTACTGAAGAGACTGAGGTGGGAGGATAACTGGAGCCCAGGAGGTTGAGGCTGCAGTGAGCCGTAATTGTGCCACTGTACTTCAGACTGGGCAACAGAGAGAGACCCCATCTCTAAACACACACAAACGTACACACATGCGCACATGCACACACACATGATAGGGAAAAAAACTTGAGTAAGGAAGGCAGGTCTAGCATAAAGCTTTGGGTGAAGGATTTACTTGTGTGTGCGTGTAGCCACATACCTAGCTGTGTAAGTCATTGCAAATGTCATCTGGCTAATGTCCATTAATGATTAGCTAATTATATAGCTGCCATTCTGTCCTTGGACTGACAGCTGGTTTATTTTACAGAAGGCAATATCTTTGATAGAGTTCCTTTATCACATCAGAAAGGGTAGTTTTTTTTTTTTTTAAGCAATAGCTTCAAGAACAAAGAAGATTAAATAAACACTATTGAATAAGAGAAAAGCCCAGCCCCTGGCACATAATAAGTGCTTAAAAAACATTATTTGAAATTAGATTAACTGCTTTTTTGATTAAAAAAAGAAAACTCTTCCAATTTAATGTCTTAAAGCCCCTCTATAAAGAGTACAAATAATAAGTTAAATAAATACTATCTTGGACTGAAACCAGAAGTAGAAACTTGTGTACCCTCTCTTGATTTGTTAATTACTGAGAAGTTATTTGTGGTCTTGACCTGATATGTGTGTGTGTGTGCATGTGGGTGTATATATATTTTTTTTCTTAGCTCCCTTTTCTCTCTGATTTCTTCTCTCTTTCTCTCTCTCCTTCCTCCCATCCTCCTGTCATTTACTGAGGACTAACCAAGTGTACTAGTTGCTGTTCTGGCACTTGAGGTGCAGAGCCTCCTGCCAGCCTTCAGTTTAGTGTAGTGCTTGCGAACATAGCCTGAGAGCCGGACCCATTTGCATGCCAGCCCAGCCTCAGCCCTACAAGCTGTATGATCAGAGGCATTTTAACAAACCTCACAAAGGCTTGATTTACTTATCTGTCAAATGAAGATGGTGGTGCGGTTTTCAGGCTGCAAGTGAGTGTGTAAGGTCTCTTGGCCATAATATGGTGACACATTTCACAGGTCTCATGATCAGATGAGGAAGCACATAGTATCATTCAGCCTTTTATCCAGGTCCACTAGCTACCTGTTCTTGGTAACAACGCGAGGCAGGGGTAACAAGTGCTGCTGGGTGACTGTAAGAGGCGGCACGGCACTGTGGGTCAGAGTAGCATGGATCCAGACCACCTGCGTGTAATCTGGCTCTGTCACTTATTAGCTGTGTGCCATTGGGCAAATTAACAGTTTCCTCACTTGTGAGACAGGTTAGTAATGCTACCTATGGCATACTATTGCATTGCATATTGCATTCATATGAGGATGAACTGAGTTGACCCTGCAGAGTCCTTAGAGCAGTGACTGGCACTTAGCAAGTTACCCAGAAGTATTGTCTATTAATACTTGCATTGATTGTGAAACATCACTGAGCGTTGCTAAGAGGCTGTCTTTTCAGGAGCAAGGAGTCCAAGTGCCCATTTCCTGTACGTTTGGCTCAGACGCCCACCCCTTACCCCTGCACACAGCCTGTTTTCTGTCTCAGTGGGACACATCTCTTTCCCTTGCAGCACAATCACTCTTTCCTTCCCGCTCCGGTTCTGGTCTGCCATCTGCTGACCCATTCGGCGCTCCTGTCAAGTCAAAGATAGCGAGGCCTTTGTGGAGTGCCCAGGCAGCGTGTCATGTCCCAGTGCTGTTGTACATCTTGTTTCAGAGATATTTTGCCGTAATGTTCTGTGACCTTTTCCATTGAGTGAGGTAGTTGGAGAGGCACTCAGTAAGGGAAAATTGAGCTGTTTTATTCCTCCCCAAGGAGGCTCCTGTTTCCTTTCTACCATTCATTTGAAAGCTATCATTTTCTTGATTTTATAGCTGAAAAACACCATTGATTCACTGGGTGTTAGATGCTAGGAGTTCTCCTATTGACATGGGTATTGACAGTTTTCAGTATATTCTGCGTCTAATTATCACTCTTGGCTAAATGATACACCTTGTGGACTTGAGCGATGGAGTCAATAGCTCTCACCACATTGTTCTACTGCTGCCTATTGAGACTGGTGTCACGGCGATGTGATTTATGCGATCAGAAAGAAAATTTCTGTTGGTGTGCTGCATAATTAAAGCAAGCGCAGAGTGACTGGTGACAAAAAATCAGGACTGCCGATGTCATCCCCAAATGAGGAGAGATTTCTGGAGTAAGCAGCTGCGACAGTGAAGAATCTCTCTTGGCATCTTCCGCTTTGCAATTTTCAAGGGTTCGATTTTCCTCCCAGTCCTGGCTGAGAGCTCGTCTTCTCTCCTTTCCTGCTGCATCCTGGTCAGAGCGTCAGTACCTGTGTGCTACCATTCCAGGGCCTGAGCCCTGGGGCTCGCTCTGGGTAGGGGGGCTCACTGTTGCAGACAGGGGCTGTTCGTAGAATTTGGGCTGTCAGCAGCCCACATTTGCTGGTAGGGAGGATCGATGGCCTCTAAAATGGCTTGTCCTTTGTATCAGCCTGTTTGAGTTTCTGAGGTTGAGATTAAATGTTGGGAAGGCCATTTTCCCTGTGCATGAGAAGGGTGGTCCCTGCATTTACATGGCAGATTCTGAGAGGAGCTGATGGTGGTAATGCTGCTCAGCCTCAGGCAGGACTGGTGAGGAAGTGCAGGTGGCTGACAGGTGGCAAAGGCTGGGTGTATCCTAAGCAAACAACTCTGGTGTGAGACAGTGTACCCCGCAAACCTGCCTTCTACCCCAACGACTCCTTTACTGGTGCTCTTCCCAGAGGCTCCTCAGAAGATCCACACAGTCAAGGACCTTGCCTTCTGCAGCGCTTGCGTGGTGATGATTTTCTGCGAGGCCAGAGTCAACTGATCTAGTCCATAGACTTGTGTGTTCTCACGTGTGAAGTGAACAGGGTTCCTTTTAGCTCTAAAGTACTGCGAATTAGTGAGCTGGGGCTTGGAGTAGGGGTTGGGGAATGTAAAGGTATTAATCTGAGAGGTCCCTGAAGGAATTTGAAGGCCAGACCACCATTGCCTGAGAGGAGTGCTTCATGTGTGCTGCTGGTCTAAGATGTGGAGACTCTGGCTTCATAGGCACTGAAGGAACCTTGGAGGTTAGAATATGTTAGTGAGATATTTAATGAGAGGTATGAACAGAAGATCTGAATCAAGCTAATGGAGTAGACATTTCCAGGCACCTGAGTTGGGCAATGAATTTGGCTTGGTGGCCAGCGAAAGTCATGAGTAGAATGGGATTTGGGTGTTGGTGGATGATGGGACCATGGAAAGGGGTCAGGATTCTGAGGTTTTGGGCAGCTGAGATTGTGACAGGAGGGACTTTTGAGGTCACTGTCTCTAGATGGGTTACCTTCCTGGAAGTGGGATGCCTTGTGTGGCCTCTATGACCATCAATTTCTACTTAATGAACCTCTGTATGTGGCTCTTCTGCAGTTCCACTTTTCCCCATGCACAAAGCCAGAGAGATTTTATGACTTGTGTTCCTATTTTCATCACTGGAATTTTTTAATATAAAAGTTTTGAGACTACTCTGTTATTGTATTTTTGAGGACAACCTGGTATTTTATAATTAGGGGTTGTGTTAGGCCATTCTTGCCTTGCTCTAAAGAAATACCAGAGACTGGGTAACTTATAAGAAAAGAGGTTTAATTGGCTCATGGTTCTGCAGGCTGGACAAGCATGGCATCTGACATCTCCTTGGCTTCAATGGAGGCCTCAGGGAGCTTTTACTTATGGCAGGAGGCCAAGTGGGAGCAAGCATGTCCCATGGCAAAAGCAGGAGAGAGAGAGAGAGAGAGACAGAGAGAGAGAGAGAGAGAGAGAGAGGGAGAGGTGGAGGGGGTGCCACACACTTAAACCACCAGATCTCACGAGGACTCTCACTTTTGCGAGGACAGGACTAAGCTATGAGGGATCCATGCCTATGACCCAAACACCTCCCACCAGGCCCCACCTCCAACATTGGGGATTATAATTCAACATGGGATTTGGGTGGGGACAAATATCCAAATGATTTCAAGGGTCCATAGTGCTTTGTCTTTGACATTGAGTAAACCATGGAATGCCTCAGGGTTCTTGAAAATTCAAATCTCATGTACTTTGTTTTAATTGTTCATGTTTATTTATCTGGACTAGTTCTGACATTGTCCATGGCTCTGGGTAAGGAGAGATGTTCTGTAACTGGGAAGGAACTTTGAGCATTCTGATAGGATTAATTATTTTCATCCAATGTGTAATCATCACTAAACACATCTCTGTGAAGACTCCTCAGTACATGAAACTATTGTTAATGCAACATAGTACCACCAGAAGATTCTGGGTGACCGATTGGGGTAAAGTTGATCATCTGTTAAGATTCTTTTTTTTCCCCATTCTTGACAAGTGGTTCAACTTAGAAACCCTGAGTACCCCTTACAAATTGCAGGCTACCTTGATCACCTGTGATTAGAGGACATGGTTGGTTTGTTGTGTGCTAGGCCTCCATGTCTTACCCACAGTTGATTTATTTTAAACACTGGAAATTGCAAAAAAAAAAAAACCCAAAAAACAAAAAACAAAAAAACCCACCTTGGGGATTCTTTGACCCCACAGTTCTTCCTATACTATGTCTCAGGCTCTTAAAATGCCTCTCCTTTCTGCATCTGTCTTTCCCCAGTTCAGAAGGTAATTCCTGCTGGTAGAGGCATCACTCAGTAAATTTTAGGGTCGTATAAAAATTGCTCTGGTTAGGTTGATATATAATTTAATTTTCCCCAGACTGCTTCTGGCCTCTGCCTGTTTGAGCTCTGGAATCCCTGTGGGGGGTGAGTGCGCAGAATACGTTCTCACCTCTCAATTCATTGTGACTTTAGCTGGAGGTCGGTCCTGTGGCTGTTGTGGCTCTGTATCCCAGTGTGTAGAAGCAGCATGTGAAATGGAGTGAGCAGTAAGCATATGGCTGGGATTTGTGTGTGCAGAGGGATACGGCACAGAGAGGGAAAGCAGCATTTTCTCTCTGGGATTGTCAAGAGAAGTTGACCCCTCCGACCAAGCACACAGGCATAGAGAATCAGGCAGGGCATGGGCCTGGGCAGCCTGGTGCCCGCCTGGTGAGCAATGGGGTGGGATGGCCCACATCATCCAGCCATTGGCAAAGGGTCCAAAATTCAGTGCTTCCCCCAAGCAGCCTAGCTCCTTCAAATGGCATATTATTATCTTTGTGTATTTTCTGTCCTCAGGGTTGTTTCTGCATCTCAAATGTGTGTAAAGAGAATTTTGCACATTCAACAAACTTTAACTTTATAGGCAGCAGGTTAGAGAAAGGAGCTCCATCACATTAAATGCTGGCTATTGTGCTTTTCATTCAGCTTGATGAACAGTGGCCGAAAATGGCAGGGGATTAAACTGATGTAAGGACAAGAATTCATATAAGAGGCTGTGGGAATGAGGCAGAATAATGCTGGGGCTTTGCAGTATTATGGTGTTTTTTGATCTGCTATAGATGGAAGACATAATGTACCTGTATTTATGTTGATTTTAAATAGGGAGTGTGTAAACAGAGGCATATCATTTTCCCTGCAGTCTGCAAGTTGAAATTACACAGCTACCACTTCTGAGCAATGGACATATTTCTGAATAATGAGTTAAGTGCAGTTTTTGAATATTTGGATCTTATTGTACATCACAATAAGAGCATTTTTATTGCTCAACTGGGTTCCTGTTACAGAGGCACACAGTAGGTGGGCATTTGCGAATTATTCATTTGTCAAAGGGCATTCTTCTTCTTTTTAGGAAAATTCACCTTTGTCTTGTTGAATTTGAGCAAAAACACTGCAACCCCGAATAGAAAAAACACCTCCTTTTTCACCCTCACTCTTTGGTGTGGGAGAGCTGCAGATGAGGTGTCCCTTCCTTCTGGAGAAGTGCACATTTGTCTTTCATCTGGGAAGCGTCTTTCTGGGACAGGACCAGCTGAAAGATGTCAGCTGGGATGACCAAAGACTTGATCAGTTGACAAGGGGAGTGTCAAAGGTGGCCCAGAACCATTTATATTCACTGTGTTTGAAAGCACTTTGGAGGGCAGGGCATGCATCTCGTGCGTCTGTATAATATGAAATCCTGTTTTGTAGGCACATTTTAACATATGGCTCCAAAAAAAAAAAAAGGAAGATGGTGCCCTGCACTCAAACTTTGTTTTTCTTTTCTATACATAGCCAGAGACACTATAAGTTAGAAAGTCATCCTTTCTACAATTATTTGAATAATAATGTTCACATTTTTTTAAAGGCTTCATGAGGAACTGCCCTAATTTCTTAGAACACTGCTTTGATCATGTCCACATTTATTTAAGGAAAATTTGGGCTCAAGGCCATCCACAGTTTTGACTAACTCTGCTCTGCACAGAAGCCCTAAGGCCAGAATGTCCCGCCTGCCATTAGTTCCCATCCCAGCCTCACGCTTGTGCCTCTGTGCCTGTGCCTTCTACTAGAGGGGCCGCCCTTGCTGGCTTCTGCCCACTAGCTGCTGGCCATCCTCTGGGAGTCAGCCTGTTCCAGCTTCCCCACCACCTTCCCTGCAAGCTTCATAGTCACTTGTGAGAGCTGGGTGTGTCCTGTCAGTAGCGCTTGGGGAGAATCAGCCACCTTGGTGTCGTGTGCCCTCCGTGTCTCACCTGCTGCACTCTTAGCTTCAGTGCTGGAGGGTAATAACAGTAATGATAATGGTAATAATGAAGTCATTTATTCAGCCCACTTTTGCTGATTGCCTGTTGTGTGCTACATGTAAGGATGGAGTGGTCGTGAAAAGTAGACATGGGCCAGGCATAGTGGCTCATGCCTGTAATCCCATCACTTTGTGAGGCCGAGGCAGGCAGATCACCTGAGGTCAGGAGTTTGACACCAGTCTGGCCAACATAGTGAAACCCTGTCTCTACTAAAAATATAAAAATTAGCCAAGTGTGATGGCGTGCACCTGTAATCTCAGCACGTTGTGAGGCTTAGGCAGGTAGATCACCTGAGGTCAGGAGTTTGAGACCAGCCTGGCCAACATAGTGAAACCCTGTCTCTACTAAAAATACAAAAAATAGCCAGGTGTGGTGGTGGGCACCTGTAATCCCAGCTACTCAGGAGGCTGAGGCAGGAGAATCACCTCGAACCTGGGAGGTGGAGGTTGCAGTGATCCAAGACTATGCCATGGCACTCCAGTCTGGGTGACAGAATGAGATTCCATCTCAAAAACAAAAACAGAAACAAAAGACAGACATGGACCCTGGATTCATGGCACTTCATGTTCCAGTGCAAAGGGTACACCAACCAGTAGTCACTCATGTCAGTGGAAGGATGTTGACTGATAGGTGGTGCGTGGAACTGTGAGGGCTTGTGAAAGGGCATTTGAACCATTCGGGGAGGTCAGCGAACGCTTTCCTGAGGATAGGACCAGCTACATAATTTTCAGGGTCCAATGCTAAATGAAAATGCGGGATCTTTTTTTAAAAGTTACTGAGAATTTCACAGTGGGTGGTGGCAGCAGGGTGTTAAATCAACCGTGGGTTCCTTCTACGTATGGAGCCTTGTGCAGCTGTGCTGGTTGCCTTCTCATCAAGTGGGTCCTGCCTGACCAAGTGAGGTTTGAGCTGAGATGTGAGGGCAGAAGAGGGTGGGAAGATGGCTCCAGGTGGAGGAGACAGCATGAGCAGAGTCTCTGGCAGGAAGGAGGTTGGCACATTCAGAAACCATGAAGGGGCCAGTGTGGCTGGAGTGCAGAGAGCAGGTGGGGCATGATGCGGCCAGGACAGTAGAGAGGGTGATGTGGAAGGCTGAGCAGAACCCTACATAGCTACCCAAGTGTCCTGAGTAGTGAGCTAAAGACCTGGGGTGACAGTCACGCTGGCCACAGTGTGCGGGGAGGACTGGGTAGGTAGCCGGAGCGAAAGCAGGGCTGTTGGAAGGTTGTCAGAGCTGTCCAGGTGGGAGAGAGCAAGGCCCAGTCCAGGGTGGTGGCAGGGGAGGGAGAAGGTGTACAGGAAGACTGAGGACACCCAGTTGGCAGGGCTTAGCATAGCAGAGCTGAAGGAACGAAAGATGCCAAAGATGACATCTAGGTCCTGGCTTTGAACCACTGAGTTGAACCTCATGAAATCACCAACATTCTGCCACTTTTGGTATGGAGAAATAGCAGTTTCACACAACTCATTCCGATAGATGGGTGGATGGTGGGATATCCCTTTACTTGGGAATGTTTAGAGGATCAGAGGGGTTTGCTTGGTTTTTGCTTTGGTGGTGGCAGGTATGAGAGACAATTACAAATTGGGTTCTAGACACACTGAGGTGTGTTTTTGAAACCTCTAAGTGAGGATAAGGGAAGAGGTGGACTATATGGGTCTGGGGCTTAGAGGAGGGCTTGAGCAGGAGATAGAGTTGTTGAAGCAGATGCTGTAATAGACACCTTAGCAGGGTTACCTGTTTAAAACTTGCAAATATCCTGTAAAGAATGAATTATTGTATTCAGTTTCCCAATGAGAATAATATAGCTAAGAGAGGTTATTTAACTTGCCCAAGGTCACACAGCCACCAAGTGAAAGAGCTGGATCCAGGGCCCAAGCTCCTAACCACTGCGCCCACTGCCTTCTCAACGGCTTCCTCATACCAGGATGTACAGCTCTTTGTACTGAGTAGATCCTTAGGAATTCCTTATCCAATAAATAAATTTAAGGCATTTGGTGGGAATAATGGTATCTTCCCTTCTTAGAAGGAGATTCTTGAAAGAGGTCCCCAGGCCCCAGAGTGTCAGCAAGCATAGATGGAATTTACTTGGTTGGCTCTCTGGTTATTCTCATCACACTCTCCTCTCCTTCATGGGTAAACACCACCTCCTGCCCTTGCTGAGGTCTGGACTTTGTAGAGAGCCTTGGTTGTGGTCATAGCAACATCTTGCTGATGAATCCATTAATGATAAGTTAGGCCCCTCCCATAGTATTCTTGGGGTGAATTTTATAGGATTTTGACATTTTAGGGCTAACACCTGGCTCAAGTGCTGCTGTGCCCCCTCTGGGACCGCTAGGGCACATTACTAAATCCCACTGGGCCTGGACGCAGCTCAGAATCCTTCTCAACATGATTCCCCTCTCATTTTAGGACAAAGGGCACCAAGCTCCAGAGAGATGTTACTTCAACAATCACAGTTAATGCTAGAGTAAATCTGTTGCTTATTAAGTCAAATAAATTAGATTCTAGTTCAGTCCCTTTACAGGTAAGGATGCTGAGGGCCTGAGAGGCAGTGATTCCTCATTTCTGATGGAGATGGAGCTCATGCTCCCATTCCTACCTTCCGTATAGTCAGTCGTCCCTCCTTGGGCCTGGGACACTTGGCGAATCCACTTGCTGTATTGGCTCATTCAGCAACACGGAGCACATCTGGTCCTGGGCGTGCATTTTTCATCAGCTTTTCCCTGGAAGTTCCCTCATCATGCTTGTGGACAGTGAATTGAGTGATGTGAGTTATACTTTGTTAGGGTTGCCTTTTGATACAGCAAGTATTTCTTTTAGGCTTTTTTGTACCCTCTGTGATGCCCACTATGGATTTTCTTCCCT